CAGCAGCAGTATTACATTTTAATATTAACCCAACAGTTGATCTGCAAAATGCATCAGCAATTAGGTAATATCTGGCTAAGTGAATATAACTATTTTTATAGTGAAAATTGATACTTCGGTTTCTTTAAACTAAATGCTCTTATCTCTTTCATGTACTAACCTCTTTATCTGGGTCTGTTAGAGACAGTTAACATTGCGCTACCACATTTTAAGATATCTTGTTAAATTAACTATAACTACAGGCCCAGGGCATGGATTCGTGCACCAGTGGGGTCCCTTGGCCTGGCCTGTGGGGATCAGCTGAAACTGGCAGTCTTACATCCCCTGAGGGATGTAGTAGTGCACAAAGCGGCAGGGGAGAAGCCCAAGCCCAGGCCAGGTGCTGCGCCACTCCCACTCATCCCGGCCCTGCTGCGCCTGCTGCCACCGCTCAGTAGGCTTGCTGCCAGTCCCCTGCAGTCTCTGAGTGCCTGTCCTAGGGGGATACCGACTCGCCCATGACCAAGAAGCGGCCGCCTGCTCACGCCCAGTCAGTCCCGATGCCAGTCCCAATCCTGGTCCTGGTCTGGATGGGGGAGGGGTGTACAGGGGAAATGTCCGTGGGCACTCATTGGTCAGTTGAACGGCGCTCCCAATGTGGGAGTGCGCTGACCACCAGGGGGAAGCTCCTGTGTTGAGCGTCTGCCCCCTGGTGGTCAGTGTGCATCATAGCTACAGGTTGAATGGTCAGTCACTAAGGCTTTTATATATACAGATAATAAAAGGGTAATATGCTGCCGAAACCGGTTTGGCTCAGTGGATGGAGCGTCAGCCTGTGGACTGAAGGGTCCCGGGTTCGATTCCGGTCAAGGGCATGTACCTGGGTTGCGGGCACATCCCCAGTAGGAGATGTGCAGGAGGCAGCTGATCGATGTTTCTCTCTCATCGATGTTTCTAGGTCTCTATCTCTCTCCCTTCCTCTCTGTAAAAAATCAATAAAATATATTTTTTTAAAAAGGGTAATATGCTAATTAGACTGGACATTTTCCGAACGTCATTCCGGACATCTTACCTGACGAAGCCGGGGCCAGGGGGAAGCCAGCCCGGGTCCCAGGGCCTGCGAGCAGCCTGGGGGAAGCCAGCTAGGGTCCTGGGTCCCTGCCAGCGGCCGGAGGAGGGAAGCCCAGGTACCGGGTGCCAGAGGGAAGCTGGAGCAGCAGCCAGAGGAAGGAAGGCCTACCCTTGCACAAATTTTCATGCATCGGGCCTCTAGTATTTAAATAATGATCTGAACATAAAATGAAATCATCGGAGTGCATTAGTAGCAAGAAAGTAGGAGCATTTCTACTAGAGCAAATCTCTCCAGGCTGGTGTCTCAGGCAAGGAATTTTCTCTTCTTTTTCTTGACTCAAATCTTCAGGCCAGCCCTAACCCGTTTGGCTCAGTGGATAGAGTGTTGACCTGTGGACTGAAAGGTCCCAGGTTCGATTCCGGTCAAGGGCACGTACCTTGGTTGTGGGCACATCCCCAGTAGGAGGTGTGCAGGAGGCAGCTGATTGATGTTTCTCTCTCATTGATGTTTCTAACTCTCTATCCTTCTCCCTTCCTCTCTGTAAAAAATCAATAAAATATATTTTTAAAAAATCTTCAGGCCAGTCAATAGACAAATTTAAATTTGTCTGGGTTCTTTTCTTCCTTTACTTAGAACATAATTAAATTAATTAGTTCAAAATTTAGCTATAATAGCTTTAATATTGAATACCAAAAAAGGTAGTATACATTTTTAGATATTCTCAATTTGATATTTATAAATCATGCCAATAATTCTGTGCCAAGTTTTTTAAAATATAATTTTATTGACTTTAGAGAGGAAGGGAGAGGGAGAGAGAGAAACATCAGTGATGAGAGAGAATCATTGATTGGCTGCCTCCTACACACCCCACACTAGGGATAGAGCCTGCAACCCAGGCATGTGCCCTTGACCAGAATTGAACTTGGGACCCTGCAGTCTGCAGGCTGACGCTCTATCCACTGAGCCAAACCAGCCAGGGCTGTGCCAAGTTTTGAAGCTGAAGAGCTCATCTTTCTTTAAATGTCTAGGACAACATAGTGTATAGATTTTTAAAAGCATTCAAGAAACCACCCTACACCTTTTTGTGAGTGTCCATGTGTACAGCTATGCAGTGCTCTGATTGCAAGCCAAATGATCCTCATATTAATGCTCTATTAGATTCTTTCTAATGATGTAAAATCTATCAGAGAGATTAGGCTTCCTTGTAATTACTGATTTTGGAAAACAAACAAACAAACATAAATCACATTTCCTGTTTGTAGGACTTTGAAAGTACAAGTCCTTCACTTTAGCTTGCTCTTATGCTGGATATTTGTCTTGTCAGGCACTAGAGGGGAGTGTGGTGTCATATAAGTGCTACATTCTGCAAGCCACACCCACCATGGGATGCCCAATCACTGGGAGAGGTACAGCAAAGAGAGGCTCAAAAAAATATTTTTTCAAGATTGAAATAGGACAACTGTGGTTTCCGGAAACCTATTGAAATCTAGTGTTTTATAGGGCTTTGATCCCTTATAAGCGACAATAACATTCAAATAACGATTTTCGTAGCTTTCTTGGTATTATAAAAGGATATGTGTTTACTGATTTTTTAAAAATTTTGTTTTATTGCTTAAAGTATTACAAAGAGTATTACATAGGTCTCCTTTTTTTTCCCACCTTGACCTTCCCCCGGCCTCCCCTACCCCCCAGTGTCTTGTGTCCATTGGTTATGCTTATATGCATTCATACAAGTCCTTCGGTTGATCTCTTACCTGCCTCCCCCCTCACCCTCCCCGGCCTTCCCGCTGTAGTTTGACAGTCTGTTCGATGCTGCTCTGCCTCTGTATCTATTTTTGTTCATCAGTTTATAATGGTCTTTTTTATCCATGAATGAGTGAGATCATGTGGTATTTTTCTTTCATTGACTGGCTTATTTCACTTAGCATAATGCTCTCCAGTTCCATCCATGCTGCTGCAAATGGTAAGAATTCCTTCTTTTTTATAGCAGTGTAATATTCCATTGTGTAGATGTACCATAGTTTTCTAATCCATTCATCAGCTGATGGGCATTTAGGCTGTTTCCAAATCTTAGCTATTGTAAATTGTGCTGCTATGAACACAGGGGTGCATATATCCTTTCTGATTGGTGTTTCTAGTTTGTTGGGGTATATTCCTAGAAGTGGGATTACTGAGTCAAATGGGAGTTCCATTTTTAGTTTTTTGAGGAAACTCCATACTGTTCTCCACAGTGGCTGCACCAGTCTGCATTCCCACCAGCAGTGCACGAGGGTTCCTTTTTCTCCCCATCCTCTCCAACACTTGTTTGTTGATTTGTTGATGATAGCCATTCTGACAGGTATGAGATGGTACTGCATTGTCCTTTTGATTTGCATCTCTCAGGTGATTAGTGACTTTGAGCATGTTTTCATATGTCTCTTGGCCTTTCTTCTGTCTTCTTTTGAAAAGTGTCTATTTAGGTCGTTGCCTATTTTTTTTATTGGATCGTTTATCTTCCTTTTGTTATGTTGTATGAGTTCCCTGTAAATTTTGGAGATTAAACCCTTATCGGTGATAACATTGGCAAATATGTTCTCCCATACAGTGGGCTTTCTTGTTGTTTTGTTGATGGTTTCGTTTGCTGTGCAAAAGCTTTTTATTTTGATGTAGTCCCATTTGTTTTTTTTCTCTTTAGTTTCCATTGCCCTATACTGATTTTTTTTTAAAGAAAGTAAAAAAATATAAAAAAGTACAAAGAAGAAAGTGAATACAACCTGAATCACAGTATATATTCTCATTGTATGAGGAAGGATTCTTTCAGACATCACATTCTTTTTCCACACATAGAAATAGGCATATAATTTTCAATACATGGAATAATACCGTACCTGCTGTTTCTGGAATAGTACTGCTGCAGATGAAGTAGACATCTTTCTGTGGCAGATGACTTGATTCTTGTTAGGAAATCCTAGTGGTTATGAGAAGGGGAAGTCATAATAGTTCCTGGGTTTAGGTTTCTTCTCTACTCAGTATGTGATGTTGGGCAAGTAATTTAACCCTTCTCTATGTACCTCAGTTTCTTCATATACAAAAATGGGGATAATAATATTACTTAGAGAGTTGGTGTGAGGATTAAATCAGATCATATATTTAAATGTCTAAGACAGTACCTGGAACATAATAAGTACTCATTATATTTTAACTATTATTCTTAACTAAATACAAGTTTCAACTTTATGGTAACACTAAAGGTTTTTTTATTTTTATTTTTTAAAATACATTTTTATTAATTTCAGGGAGGAAGGGAGAGGAGAGAGAGAAACATCAATGATGAAAGACAATCATTGATTGGCTGCCTCCTGCACGCCCGAGCCCCAGAAGCTGGGCATGTGTCCTAACCTGGAATTGAACCATGACCTCCTGGGCAGGGCTAAAGGTTTTTTAAAGAAATATGAAAGTGAAATATTTTTTCAAATAAGTCTCATCATTATTTTTCAAAACCATTTTTTAATTTATTAATTTTGAGAGAAAGAGAGAGAAACATCGATTTGTTGTTCCACTTATTTATGCATTCATAGATTCTTCTATGTACCTGACAGGGGATCAAACCCACAACCTCGGCCTATCGATCAAGAGGATGCTCTAAACAACTGAGCTGCCTGGTCAGGGCAAAACCATTTTTAACTAAATTATTACCTCTTCTACATCTAATACATACTTTCTCCATTGATTCTGATATTTGCATGCAGCAAATACTGTTTGTACTTATTGATCGATTTACCTGAGATTTTAACAGAAAAAAGTTAACTACCTTTTTGTGGAGGCCTGTTTTAAAAATGTTGAATGCAAGGTGCCTTTAAGTGAGACTGGTTTACATGGGCTACCTTGGTAAGACACAAGTCCAACTAGAAATCCCTGTTAATTATTAACCCCCTATGTATTATCTAGATACCTGACACTGCAGATTGAGAACAGAGAGTGTTTGTCTCTCAAGTTAAGCCTAAACACTGACAAAAAAATGTAGTTATCAAGGGATTAAAAATCCTAAACTTTTTCTTTGATATTTAGTAAAGAGAGTGGGGTATCTCCTGTTTTGGCTGGCATATGTACAGTCCAAGCAATTGGCGTAAACCTCATTTGGGATTCCTGCTTGTTTGAGCATGGCGGAGATTGGAGTTCACAGAATCCTCGTTTTGGTTATTTCTCTGACAAAGTGTCTGGAAGGCACAAAACTGCTGGCCAACTTTAAAAAATGTGCTGACGTGGAATGTGAAAGTAAGTTTTCTTTTCTTTTTTTTCCTTCTCTTCCTCTTAAACTGAGGCTCTGAAATGACATAAAATGTCATTGTAGACATAAAAGAAATCATTAATATCATTGAAAAATATTTTCAATTATAAAGCAGAGTTCAGTGAAAAAAAGAAATGCTGGAGCAAAGCATTTTGTGGTAGCTTTTATTGTAAATATACAAATGGGCAAAAATCAACCATTTATATAAATATATCAGAAAATTTGAAGATATTAATCCAGACCTCAAAAACAAACTAATGAGCATTTTTACTATTTTTTAGGATAAATATAATTTATTTACATTTAAAAAGATATCAAGCCATTTGTTGGATAGTTCTTTTTTTCTTCTCATGTTTTTAAAATATTTATCTTTATTATTGAAAGTATTACAGATGTCCCCCCTTCCCCCCCATGATGGATAGTTCTTGATTTATGAAGTTCTTATGGTTTTTAGTTTATATTTACAATCAGAATTTTCTGATTTTCATGAGTTTTATAAAAATGTTATTTCAGATCATTAGGATTAATTGTCTAAACTTTATCAAACAATAATTTGTGTTTGCTTATGTAAAAATACTGAAATCAGTATTAGAGTATATAATTTTACTTATATCCTTGAATATTAAGCATCCTCCATCTTCTACAAAGATAAATTAATCTTAGTTTACTGCGTAAGAGCCCAATTTATTCTTTGTTATTAGCATTCTGGTGCAAAATAAATTCCAGACAATAAAATGGTGATGTAGTTAAAAAAAAAAAAGGAATTCCATCCCAATATCATAATTGCTTTTCGTAAGTTCTATCTCTCCAGTATGTGAGAATTATTTCTGATTTGTAATATATAAATTAAAAATGGGAAATATTATTGGTGTAAACAGATATGTTATAAGTAAGTTTGTTTATGAATAAACATTTTCCTTAACCATTTGGATATGTACTTTAATATATGGAGAAGGTTTACTAGATGATATTTTATAATAGTAATAATCTTTCTTTCCCTTTTTACAACCTCAGTTTCCTTTGGGGGCAGACACAGAACCTGGAATGGGAACATTCAAATTCATAGTAATTTATAGTGTTATTTTACTTTAATTGCATAGCTTAATTAAAATTTTTTACATGTTAGTATACTTAGAATAGTTAATTTGGTAATATACATTATGTGTAAAATCTAGTATATATGATTATGATCATTCAGTTATTGAGGGCATATTATGTGCTGGGTCTGGTTGGGGGGTTGTATCTAAGAGGAATAAAATTAAATATAAGGTAAGTTTCTTAAGGTCCAGCAATTTTCATTCTACTGAATAGTGACAAGAAAGTAAATACTAATACCATATAAGGATAGTAAGTAATATTGAAGTTCAGAGAAGGGCAGAGTAAGCTAGGTAGGTTAAGGATGTGTCATAGAGGAAGTAGATATGAGTTCATCGTGAAGAAAAACTGAAAGGTTTCTAGGCTTAGGAAATAGAGGAAAGAGAAGCTCAGGATATGGCAGGTGGTTGTTACAGTGAAAGAACCTCGCTGCAAATCTCGTTCCACCATTTATCACCTGTGAGGCCAATTCTCTGATTCTTAAGTTTCATTTATTATACCTCATAGGTCTGTTTTGTGGATTTAACAAAATAAATATTTTAAAGAACTCATCAAAATGCCTTGAATATATAGGTACCAGGAAAAACACTATCTTTCCTTTCCCTATTCACTGGAGAAAGATGATGACACATTCCAGGGACAATGGACACCTTAGACTGACTGTAAAGCAGTAAGAGAAAGTCATTATACATAAGGAAGGAAGACCAGGTTGTGGAGAGCCTTTGATACTGAGCCAAAGAGTTTTGAATTGATTCTTTGTGCAATAGGAAGTCTATAGGTTTTGAGGCCATAAATGGTAAGAAGAAATTAGCATTTGGAAATACCCAGGATGGACTGGAGGAGGGCAAGATGGGAGGGAGAAATAACATTTTAATTTAAATTGTGTGTTTTTCTTTACTTGTCTATATAGCTCTAATAAGCAGAGTTTTAGCCATGAGAGATTACAGAGGACCTGACTGCCTATACCTGAACTTCACCAAGGGAGAAGAAATATCTGTTTATGTTAAACTTGCAGGAGAAAGGGAAGATTTGTGGGCAGGAAGTGTAAGTATCTAATCTTAAAAATTGAATGAAGAATAAATAGCCAGCTTACACAAGGTTGCCTGCCTTTCATCTCTAAAGGAAATATATATATATACTAGAAGCCCGGTGCACAAAAATTTGTGCACTGGTGGGGGGGGGGGGGTTCCTCAGCCCAACCTGTGCCCTCTCACAGTCTGGGACCCCTCGGGAGATAACCACCTGCTGGCTTAGGCCCACTCCCCTGGTGGCAGAAGGCACACCCAATCCCGTGGTGTCTGCCCCGTCTCCCCTGGGCACAAATGGCAGGCCCGGATCCCGCGCTGGGGTTTGCGGCTGCTCAGAAACGGGGTGGCGGCCGCCCCGCCCGCCCCCACCTGCAGAATGAAAATTAACCACCATCTTTGTTGGTGGGTTATTTTGATTTTAAACTGATTAAGGCAATGGGAGGTGTTGGGGAGGGAAGAGCGTTTTACTCAAGTTTTTCTATTATTTGAAGAA